AGCTGGGATTACATGCCTGGATTCAACCTTCTCTCTGTGCTTTTCATGTTCTGTTCTTCCCTCCAACCCTAGAGCTCTAAACACATTCTCACTTCCATTGGGCAGGCTTCTTTTTCTAGTTCAGCCTACAATTTGCTGGCCTTGAATCAGGGGCCAGTTAGTGGTTACTGTCTGGTAGCTCAGATTCTTTTTAAGGCAAAATGAGCAATCTATTGAATAGGCCTAACATTAGGCTGAGAAAAAGAATGGATAAAGCTAACCCGATCTACTAATTTTCTCATTTTGACTTATCAAATGATAAAGAGTAGGCAGTGGGGATCTTAACTTTATCTACCACTTTTTTCCTTCCAGTGTACTATGTGGTACAATTTATGTAGTTTCCTGACACAGATGCCCAAGAGAGTTGGTAAAGAAAGCCTGAAAGATGGATTTCATATATTTATTTCTAGAAAAATGAAAACACAATATTAAATATAAACATTTATCCCGACAGGCAAAGTAACCTTTGTGAAGATGGAGCTGGTGTATTTGGAGAAAGGCCACAGAATTAGGCAGATAAGAGCTTAGCTCTGTGGCCTTATTGTTGTGTGACCTCAGGCCAGGAGAATGGCAAGTTTGAGGCTAGCCTGGACAACTTAGTAAAAGCCAGTCTCAAAATAAAAATATAAAGCACTGCGGAATGTAGCTTAGTGGCAGAACGCCCCTAGGTTTGATCCCAAGTGCTGGGGTGGGGGCAGGAGTTAAGGCACTGTGAGATTAGTATGAAATTTGGGTTAAATGCCGAAGTAGGTATTGCTATAGTGATATTCTTTTCAAATTTTAACTATAACACAGTATTATCTTTTTTTGTGTGTGGTACCGGAGATTGAACTCGGGACCTTGTGCTTGAGAGGTAGGTGCTGGAACCACTGAGCTAAATCCCTGGCCCTACACAATATTATCTTAAAGTTCCATAATATTTCATAGATATTACATAGGAGTATTAAATTCTGGTTTTAAAGTGACAATGGCTGATCTTAAATGAGATTTATTTAAAAATTTCATATAATTTAAATATTAAAGGGATACGTATCTTTTTTTTCTCAGCAGAATTCTAACCTTATTTATTTATTTTGGTACCGGGGATCGAACTCAGGTCCTTGCGTTTGCTCAGCAGGCGGTGAAACCACTGAGCTAAATCCCCGGCCCTCTAACCATATTTATAATGTAAATTTTTATTTAAGAGAAGTTTCTGTACCACAACATTTTGGAATATAAAAAAATTCAATTATCTAAGCAAAATTCATCAACCTAATAATTTTCTTTAGCTGAATCTCAGATGCTAAGGCCATGTATTGAAGTAATTACTACATTTAATCAGCGCTTTTAATATGGAGGTTTGAAACTTTAACAGCCATATTGGTGAGATTCTATATGCTATTTTCTTTCACTCCCATTTTCTCTCCATTTGCATATTTATTTTTTAACAACGTTGAGCAAATCTAAAACACTTTGTGGCTATTTCTCATCCTTACTCAAACAGCATAAACCAAGTATGATGTCAGGTATCTCATTTAAAACTATTTTTCTGTTTTAATTGCAATCTCTGTAATGTACTTCTTATTCATACAAACAGAAAATCATTAATTACTATTCAATTTATTCATTTGGACATTCAAATAATTAAGTGTGGGGTCTCTAGTGAACAGAAAATAATAAAAGAAATACATGGTAGTAATAAATTTAAAACAAAACTATTAAATAAGATTTACTTCCATCTTTTTATTGTAAGTTATATCTTTCTATCTCAGCTTTAAGGTCTTTTCAGTGTCATAAAAAATAATCTTAATTCTCTGTTTTCTGGTTTCCCTAGCTACAGGGAAGTATCAGCTGATAATGTTGACCCTGAAGGACTCATTTAGCATTTCCTTGTCTCTCAGTATTTCTTCCATCCCTGTTTAAAAATGAACTGAGGACTGGGGGTAGAGCTCAGTTGTAGAACACTTTTTTAGCATGTGCAAGGCTCTAGGTTCAATGTCCAACCCCCCCAAAAATAAAATAAAATAAAGGAAGAGCAGAGATCCTGAGGTATCACTCAGACTATCGAGACAGAGCCTGACTGGGTGACTCTGATGGAAACTCAGTGTTTAAACAGGAAGTGGTAAACATCACTTGACTTTGCTGGCAGAAAATGATCAAAAAGAGAGATTTTAAAGAGTAAATTTGACAAATATTCCAATATTGCTTACCATGGAACCAGGCTCTTCCATGCTCTTTAGAGGTCTTAATTCACTTAATTTAATCCTCACAATGGCTGCACAGTCTGTACTTGTTTTCTGGTACAATAGATGAAGTCCTGCTTTATTCCAGGGGAGAACTAATCAGTCATGATGTTACGATGTAATGGGCAAGTATACTCCAGGCTCTTGTGTACAATAAGCAAAGAATTGCCAAGGATATGCTCAGTAGCAAATGGCAAGCTATTTTTATTGAAGATCACAAGCAGTTGTGCTTAGGGTAAATCTGTGCTGACAAAAGATATGGCAGAGACAGAAAAATGGTGCAGGAGTGACAGAAAAGCAAAAGCACCTCACACAGGTCATGGCACACAGAAGCCAACTGGCATAAATCAGCCTTTTGGAATTGAAAGAACATGCACTTCAGCCCAGGTGCCTCCCCTAAACCTCTAGTGTGACAGGCAGCTGGGCCCTCTCAGTAGTTCTCAACACACATACTTGTCCCAGAATTCATTCTGACCTTAATTACAAGCATGACACATAGTACATATTTATGAGCCCTTAATGAGGTTTGAGCTGGGTGAAGGTGACTGAAGGTCAGGCTCAGAGATCCAACACACATGTGCTCTCAACTTGAGCATCAGACATCTCCTGGGTTTTTGTTATTTTATTTTCCACCTCTCTTAGGACAAGGGAAGGAGGAATGGCCAAAATGAGTAGAAGGGGGTCACTTCCTCAGCTCTATTGTTTCTTACTGTACCAGTAATAAGTACTGTGTGCATTCCGCTACTCCTTCCCCTTCTGCCTCCCCCTACTTCCTGGTCTCCACTGTGCGACTCCGCTGCAGCCTGAGGGTTACTGGCACCTTCGTGGAAGTTTAGGGCATGGACAATCGTCCCAAGGATGAGTCTGGCCTGGGAGCGCAGCCAGGCTGCAGACAAACCAAAAGAGATGAGGTTAAAGTTAGGAGAGACACCAACAGCAGGCATCTATAACCAGGCACAACTGACACAGACTTAAGAGTTCTTAAAGTAAGACTAGTCCTCAATTTCTACAATGTTAATACTTCCCTGTTAGTTTTATAGTAAAGTTGCATTTTAAAAAGAGCCAAGCCTGCCTGAGAAGAGTGGTCCATTGGCAGGGCAGCAAATGTATGGAGCTCATTCTAGATGAGTGGCTTGTGGTGACAGCTTTGTTAACCGCTGGTTGAACTGGTGAAAACAGAGATGAAAAGTTAAGGGGGTTGCAGAGGGCAATACCGCAATTTCTGGGTCCTTACTATGCATGGATTTCTTTTGTCTGCTTAACCTTCTTCCCCTGTGAGGTTTATTTAATATGCTGCTCCACTTTGTATTTCAAATTCCCCTTAAGCTTCTAAAAATGTTACCAATGATGTCATTACCTTTCACATTGAATATCAAATTAGCCACAGAAGTTCACTAGCTTGAAAGTCCTCCAGGAAGGAGAATGAACTTGAACTTGGTGATTCCATAACGAGATGTAGGAGATCCGCTCACCTGCTAGATACTTCCTTGGCATCTTCCAGAGTTATCCAGTTCAATCCACAGCTCTGCAAGCTGCATTACATCTGTCATTTCAGGGCTGAGAAAAGAGAGTCTCACAGGGTCGTGGCCTGCCGTGGGTCTCACAGTAAACAAATACATTTCATAGCACTATGTCAGAAATCATTTAAAGTGTGGGTATCCTGCTAAGAAGGTATCACATTTGCTGGTACAGTAAGTAGTTCAGTCCAGAAGCAGTGAGCAAATAATGATAGCAGGGCATCTAGCCTTTTCCTGCAGGGTTAACTGGAAAAAGAAACACATAAACACACATATTGGAAAAAGGTGCTATGGCTAAGGACCCAGAGGAATGTAGCCAGCAGAGAGCTGTAACAAAGCGCAGCCCTGGGCCTTGGTGCACTACACCACTGAAGGGCTTGCCCAAAGAAGCTGGTGGGCGGCAGCGCTCAAGGGCCTGTTAGTGCACTGAGCTACAGGCGAACCACCCAGCGTTCACCTTCAGAAGGGGAGGCAAGTCCTACCGCAAGGGCTAAACACAGGCCCTTACCGCATCCTTGATGTGTGTTCTTATAGAGAAGGCAGGACGGGGTGTGTGTGATTAACCCAGGTGGGACGTACACCTCAGTCCCTAAGCATTTAGAGAGGAAATGAAACCAACGAAGTCCCTCCTGGGGTCACCCTTTTCCCCTCCAGGTGCACCATCCTTTATTAGCGATCTGTTTCCCGGGCTGGAGACGCGTCCCCGGCCCCGCCCGCCGCGCAGGGTCCCCCGGGCGGGGGGGTGGGGGGAGCGGCGGTGACGCAGAAGGCGACGGGGTCGGACGGGTGGGGAGGGGTGCTCGGCGCGGGGCTGCGCGGGCCAATCAGAACGCGAGGCGCTGGGCGAGGGCGCCAGGTTTCCAGCGGCCCCCGCGCAGCGCCGCCTGTAGGATTCTGCGCAGGCGGGGCCTGCGGGGGGTCTCCGGCAGCGGCTCAGGCCCTTCAGGGCCCGCCCTTCCTCGGTCCGGCTGCCGCTCCCACCGCGCGGCCTCGCCCTCCTCGCGCTCCCGGCCGCTCCTCGCTCAGCCGTGCGGGGGCGGCGGGCGCCTCACCGCGGGCGGGAGGCGGGAGGCGGGGATGCCGCTGGCGTCGTCGCCCTTGAGGCCGGGCGGGTGGCTGGCGGCGGCCGGAGCCAGAGCGTGCTCGCCGCTGGCCGGGACGCCGCCCTGGCCTGCGCTGGGTGCCCGCGGCGGCCTCAGGGCCCCGGGGCCCCGCGCGGCATGAGGTGGAGGCCGCGCGCCGCCGTGCGCCCAGCCTCTCGGGTCCCCGCGCGTCGCGTGCGCCGGCTGCAGCCCGGGCTCCCACGCTAGCCCCGCGCGGGTACGAGACGCCGCGGCCGGGAGGAAAGCGGAGGGAGGGAGGGAGGACGGGCGGCGGCACTGGCCCGACCCGAACCGGCTCCGTCCCGGCCCCTTCGCACCTGCACCCTCCTCCCGCGGGCCCGGGCCCCTAGCCTCCCCGCACCCTTCTCCGCGTCCGCCCGCGCCTCTCCTTCCCCGCCTGCCCGGCCTCCCATTCATTCCGCCGCCGCTTCCCCTCCCCTCCCGGCCCCTACTTCCCGGGCCCCAGCGCCTTCCCGCGCGGACTCCGCCGCGTCCTCGGGGTTCCTGGCACCTTCATGGAAGTTTAGCGCCTGGACAGTCGCCCCGAGTCCGGCCTGAGAGCGCAGCCGGCTGCTGGCCCGGAGAGGAAGATGTCTGTGCTCCGGCGGATGACGCGGGTCTCCAATCGCTCCCTCCTCGCCTTCATCTTCTTCTTCTCCCTCTCCTCGTCTTGTCTCTACTTCATCTATGTGGCTCCGGGAATCGGTGAGTACCGAGACACACCCTCACCCCATGGTCCCCCCCTAGGAAACGCAGGCTGTCCGAGGACGATACCTCTGGGGTTGGGGAGCTGTGTCCACCAGGCCCGCAGAAGGCATTTGATTTGAACTGTTATTTCAGATCTGCTGCTCGGGGGCATGGGTTTCCGGTATGAGTTTTGTTAATGTGCTCTTAAATAACTTAAAAGATTGCATTACGTGGTCGTAGCCAAATCACATATGATGGCCCTGGGTGTTGCGATCGCTTTGAATATTTATGCAGCTTTATCCATTTAATGTCAAGTGTCTTAGTTTAAGCTCACTCGCTGCCTAATCGCAGTTTTATTCAGACACCCTCGGTATAATAACTGCTTGTAGAAATAGGGAAAATCCAGCAGCAGGGAATGTGATTGAGGCCGAGGGTGTGCGCGGTCTAGTGTTCTAGGTCACTTTTTTAGAATGGGGTCAGAGAAAATTGTGCCATATTTCAGGAAATTTTAGGGGCTGGTGGCATTGTCCTATCAGAATGGTGTTCTGTTATTTGGTCTGCTTCTCAAGGGTAGGTTGTCTCTGCTACCTGTTAGGGTGACTTCTGATGTAAGATAGTGATGAAAATGATTCTTCGAGGCGGTTTGCAGGTTCCGATTTTTTTTTTTTTCTTTTTGGTACGGGAGATTGAACTCGGGACCTTGCGCTTGTGAGGCAGGCGGTGGAACCACTGAGCTAAATCCCTGGCCCTGCAGTTTCCGACGTTAACGTTCTGTCTAGCACTTTTGGTCTTTGGTCCAAAATACGCCACTGTAAAATCGACTTGAATGGGCTTTTTGAAATTAAATGTCCTAATTCCTCATTCTTCCTATTGCAGACAAGTACATGCCATGGCATTATTCTACTGATTAACGAAACACGGGAATTTCATGTGGCTATTAAAAAAAAATCACAATTTCAAAACTTCTGAGTTTTCCTGGTTATTGTGTATTTAATGTTAAATTACTTAGTGACACTGTGCACCTCCGACCATTTTTTTCTTGGACTTTAGTAGTCTTTTGAGCTAGTACCATTTTCCCCTGAATTAGCGAAAAATGTATTGGTTAATGCCTCTTACAGAGGGAAAACACCCTCAGAACTTTGAAATGAAATTCCTAATGGGGCATTGTTTTGGATGTAATGAATTGTATTGTAATATATTGCAGGGAAGAAGGAAAAAGTAGACGTCATTCAGATTCTTGAAAAATTAGTGGCTTTTTCAGTTTTAAACTTTTAGACTGAAATAAGAAATAGACACTCAGGTAATGATACTTGAGGAAGTGTGACTTGCTGACATTCTGATGTGTCCCCAAATAGAAGTTTTAGGGTAAAGTTTAAAGAAGTATCGATATTTTACCATTATTTTTCTTTAATGCAGTTTTTTTTTAGGCAAACAACAATGCAAAACACCCTCTTGAAGCCTGCAGTATTAATGACAACGCTTCATAAATTAATCTGAATTACAGCTGGGACAAAATTTTGTTGTGGCTGAAATATATGTTGTGTAGAAACACTTTTTATTGGTTCTAAATATGTTTCAAGTATCTTCAAGTAAGACAGACGTCTGTATTAATCCTATCACATCAGCTAGTTTAGTATTGTCAGTTATATTTCCTACCTTTTCTGTCATTTGATAGATTTGATACAGTATTATCCAACGTATTCAGCAAAGGGTTTTATTAAAAAATTTTTTTTGCCTTTTTTTGAAATCTTATAAACTTCTCATTCTATAGCAATTTTACTTTCTCATGTAACTAACAAGTTGGATATCTTTGAGGGATATTATTTGACCAGCCATTTAACTTTGAAAGATTTTGGAAAAGGTTTTTTTTACTTATACAACAATTTTCTTTCTTACTTCGTATTTTGAGTAATGTGTTAAAGTTACATTACTCAAAAAATTAACCAAAGGAAATCAGAATTCCAGGTTTTACCATGATAATCATCCTATTTTGGGGGAGTTGGCATATTAATATGTTACTTGTGCTTTCTCTTATGGTGATATTTCAGGTCTTTTTTCTGACCCAAAATATATTGATTTCAATGATTAATTTTCTGAATGACTTTGCTTATTTTGAAGTTCCTAAAAAAGAAATTTCACTTTCTAACTCCATTGTACACTAAGTTTAAGCAATCAGTATAACCCTAAGTGAGATTTTGACACAATGTTTAAGAGAGTATCTATCCCTGTAATCCTAGTACTCTGGGAGGCTGAGACGGGAGGGTTTCAGGTTCAAGCCCAGCCTAGGCAACTTATTGAGACCCTCACTGTCTCAAAATAGAAATTAAAAAAAGTTATCTGTAGAGTATTAAAATTCAATTGTTGTGAAATATCAATACAATTTTCTTATTTGAGTGCTTTATGTTTGCCATAGAATAATCAGTGGTTAATGTAATAAAAATTGTTCTAATTTTCTTGCTCACAATAAATTGATATGGTTTACTATGTTTTTGAGGCTTATAATTTTTAATTTAAAAAAATCGAAGCCAGTAAGAAAAGTAGCTTACACAGATGTGTATGTATAAATGCTGTGAATTTGTTAAACCTAATCTATTTCCAGAGTCCTGTGCCAGTTAGCAAAAGGAAAGAAAAAGAAAGTGGCTTTCTTATTTATCTTCTGTATGTGTCTTTAAGTATTGGGAAGCAGTTTTCTAAAATTCAAATTTTCTCTTGAAAGCTTGATTTTTTCCATTGGCATCAAATGTCAGTTTTTCTTGACGTGTCAGGCTGGCTTTGTTCATTTTTGCGATTCATGGGTCAGATAGGCTAATATAACCATAATGTGTCAGTTGTTCTTTCAAGTAAAAGTGACATCCCATGAAAAATGTGGTGAGTTGAGTTCACAGTGCAACAACCCGTGGTACAAATGCTTTTCCTTAAGACAGCTGTGGTCCCTTGGTGTGCAGCAGAAATGCTTTGCATCTACTTCACATTTCATCGCAGATTTCTTATGGTTTTTATTAGATATAGAGATTTTTCTTGAAATACTTTATATTTTGTCCTGATTTACATCTCTGGGCAAAGTTTTCTTGTGACTAAAATGACTCTTCCATTAAGAAGTCCTTATTAGTCCTACTGCATCAGCGTATTTGGTGGATGTCAGTTATGTCTCCCTGCCATTTAGGTGCAGACATCTGGGCTTGTCCTTTCTTCCCCAGGCAGGCCGTCAGTCATTTTAGTTACCCTTCCTTGGTCTCCTTCTCCTGGGTTCTTCTCTCCCTTCTGAACGGATATACCACACAGTTTTAGACAGTGATATTTGTTTGGTTTCCAGTTTCTTACATTGTTTAGCACTTTGTGGGCTCTTTGGATCTTAATGTACAATGAGTTCCTTGGGACTGAAGCTTGTTATTTTATGAAGAATATATCATTTCCCCTTCACAGCTCTGATTCATGCAGGAAATCAGGGGTAGCCCTTACATTCTGAAGCTTAGTACTCAGAAGACTGGACGGTAGGCACCCTCCCCCTGGCCACCCCATAGAGGTCCCTAGATGTGTTGCCCTAGCGTGCCCAGCAGACATATGGATTGTTTCTCATTTTCTGTCTGCTTTTGTGCATGATTGCAGAGGTGAATGCAGTTTCCCTCCAAGGTTTTCATGTGGCTGGATTAAGACTAGAATAGCTTCTAATGTAATGCAGTCCTTTTCTGCCATCACATCAAAGGAGAAGGGGAACTGACTTATAAATTCATTCAGCAGATAGGCCTGGAGCACCCGGGGTAGCTGGACACTGAGGCATGGAAGATGAGAGATGACTAACAGTCATTCTCGAGCTTAAGCCTCATAAAGGGGCTTAAGCAGACCCTTGGAAAAGCAGGTGGAGTGAGGGCTGGTGGTTGGAGTGGGCAGTACCTGGGAGTTTTCTCAACTGAGCAAAGGGATTCTGGTCAGAGGGAACAGCATGAATGAAGTTTCTCGAAAATGGAAGTATCTTGCTTCCATCTTAGGGTGTATGGTGGCAAGCCAGATTGAGTAAGCTTTCTGGGGCCCTAAGCCTTATCTAAACTGCCTTTGATTAAGAAAGTAATCAGTGGGGCAGTATCATTGGGGAGATTGCATAACTTCCCTTGGGCTGGAGATTTCACATTCCATTTGACTCCTTGGAGTCCCTGACCTTTTCTAGATGCATTGACAGACTGCTTTGTTCTTTCGGTAGGGATATAATCTGGCTGGGCCAATTTGCTCTGGATTCCTAGCTGCCCTTTGAGGACTTGCCTGACCAAGGGCTTGGCTATTTGGGCCTTCAAGGGAACCTTGGAGTGGTGCTGATGGTGCCTAGGGTGTGGAACGTGCTGGTATGTCCAGACATGTATTCCGGGAGAGACGGCTTAGTCAGGTTCCTGCTCAAAGCAACTTTGACATTTTCATTTAGTTTTTTCCTGGGTTACCTCAGAAGCTAGCTATTTGTCCTCTGGCTTTCTTTTGACAACCCTTTAACCTTCAGATCCTGGCTGGAAGAGCCTGGCTCTGCTCTTCTTGAGCTATGCTAGCCTGCTTTTGTTTCAAAGGTCCTTTTGGTTTTTCCTCACCAAGTGTTTTGATCTACAAGAACCAAGTGGAGTTCTTGTGATTTGGACTGTGGAATTGGTCATCTTTATGCTCTGAGCCTCCCTCACTGGCCAGGAGTCCCATGCTATTTTTCGTCCTGTGAGTAGCTGAAATTTTGAAAAGAGAAATGATACATTTTTTTTTTGTTTTTTGTTTTGTTTTAGAGTAATCCTTCTATCCTGAAGAGTGGGTGTAGAGGGCAGAATCAGGGACAGGAATACTAAGTAGGAAGCTAGGGCAGTAACTCAAGCAGTAGAAGGTGCGTCGTGGATCAAAGTGGACAGTTGTGTTAGGTCGGAGTCAAGCATGTAAGTAGTGGAAGTGAAGGAAAGGAAGCAGTGGTAAGAGGGTGCTAGGATTCCAGTTTAACCAGCCAGCTAAATATAATGGGGAGTGTGGAAAGGCACATTTTTTGAGGGGGCTGTTTTGGT